GTGGGGCCGGTAGATGGGACCTGAGGCCCCGCTGTAGGTGAGCTGGGCAGACTGGGTATGGGGGGCAGGGATGGCAGGGAATAGAACCCAGCAGGCGGTTCCTGCAGCAGGCAGGCCCAGGTCCGGACCAGGAGAGCAGCGGGTGCGGCGGCAGAGGGGAGGAAAGAGCTTCACGAGGTCACCTGGGAGGGGCCCAGAGGCCAGGATGCTGGAGGGAGTGCCCGGGAGGCACCGGACGTGATCACAGGTCAGGGTGGCTGAGCTGCTCCTGAAACGGGCAGTGAAGGGGTGGGACCTGGGGTCTTGGGGAGGGAGCGGGATCCCAGGGCGGGCACAGGCTTCAGAGGGGCCAGGACTTGGGGGGGGCGGGGGGAAGAGTGGTCTGCAAGCAGCAGGGCGGGGCTGGGAGGATGCCCCGCCCACCTGCGTGCTTTGTGGTGCAGGGGGAGACGTGTCCCTGGGGAGAGCCAGGGTAGCTCCAGGGAAAGGGCGCCTTTGGGAGGAGGGTGGCGGGTGTGAGGAGCATTGCCCCCAGCCTTCACAGAACAGGATTCTGGAGGAGGAGCCTGAGAGGTTGAAGAATAGAAGAGCCCTTCCGAGCCCTTCTCACTGCTGACGTCTCGGGCAGGACGGTTTTCTGCGGCAGGGCTGCAGTATGTGTTGTAGGGTGTTTTTCAGCATCTCAGGCTTGTGCGCACTCGATGCCTATGGCACCCCTACCCTGCTCGGTCTGGTAACCAAGAATGTCTCCAGACGTTTCCAGATGTCGCTGGGTGAGGGTTCCCAGTGGTGAGCCAGCGGGTTACTGGAAACGTGGAGCCACGTGGGTTAGACCCACTGGTGTTGAGGATGGGCTCCCAAAAAGGAAGGCTGTAAAGGGTGCTGATGAGCTTGGCTCTGATGGTCCCTTAGGGGAAGGTGGGTGTCATCACTTGCAAGTAGTTCCTTCTTGAGACTGGCACTTAGCTACTTTCTTCAAGCGAGTCAGGAATCTCCCCCTCAATTTCACGTATTGTTAAGATACTCAGAAACCTTGGAAATGAGATTGTCGTGTCCCTGTCAGTTACTTTGCAGAAAGTTTCCTGCAGTTGGAAAGGGTGAGGGGAGATGCCTAGAAACAGGCGCCTGTCATTTTGGTTTCCAAAATGCTGAATTCTGAGCCCTAAGCCAGTGAGTTTAAAATCCAGCCCAGGTCGGATTCTGAATTCGATTGGTAATACTTCTGTGCTTTGTGTGCGTATAGAAAAGGAAGCAGTGATCTAATTGAACAAAGAGAGTTCTTTAAGGAGAAGGAGTATTAAATGGATTTCCCTTTCTTGTGTTTACATTGGCAGACATATCTGTAAGTTGGGTGCCCGTCTAGCTTTCAACAAAGTGTTTGACAAGGCTGTACCATAGTTTCTTTATAGGCAAGTCCACAGGTGTCTGAGCTGGATGCACAGACAGTATGATGTCTCCAGGTCCTACTCAGTGATGACTCAACAAAGCTTCTGGTTGTGAATTGGTGAGTGAAGATTCAAGGCTCTGTCTTGGCCTCACCTTGTTGAATATCTTTTCCATTGATTTGGATGAATACACAAAGTTGTGTGCTCAGAACAGCCAACAAGAGCTAAGACAATTGTGAAGAATAACAAAGTGTGGGGACTTGCCCTACCTTATGAGGTACCAAGGTGACTAAAGTGCCATAGCGTTCAGAACCATGTGCTAATAGAACACAGATAGGTGAAAAGATTATTGGAGAATAGAGAACCCAGAAATAGAGCCACCTCACATATATGGAAGCCTGTTATATGACCGTATAGCTTATGTATATATTCTGAGCATCTTAAAAAGAGATATTGGTACCCACCTTAAAGAACTGGATGATGGAGGGGACCCAGGTGTCCCTATTATAATGCTGCATCCACTGCGTGCCCAGCATTGGGCGGCTCAGTATGGGGGTGAGCACCTTTAGCTGCCCTGGGAAACAACCATGCCAGCTACATCCAGATAACGGACAGACGGCCAAGGGCAGGAAGCCCCAGCTTTAGGATCAGTAGGGGTTCAGAGATGAGAAATGTTAGTTTGGGAGAGATTGTGACATAAGGATTAGAGGCATAGTTGGGAATGAACATTGTGCATTGCATTGAGGGGACATCTGAGGGACAGAGTGAAATAATGAAACGCCAGCCCTGCTGCAGCAGAGGGCAGCTGTCTCTGCCTGCGCCCCTCATCTGCCTCTGCGATTGGAGGTCATTGGGACCATTGTTTCCCCATGGCCTGTCACCACACCCGGCACAGGATGGGTTCTTAACACTTCAGAGTCAGAGAGGATGCAGTCAGAGGGTGAAGACTTTTGAAACCTGGGCAGCAAATACTTGAAATGTACAAAAATATTCATTGTAAGGTTTGAGCATTGACTAACATGTGAAAGGGTTGCTTTAGGATCAGCCGGTGATCTTGGGGTCCTTGGACCTCTTAGCAACATCAGGCAGCTTCTGAACCCTCTGAAATTGCGCACAAGTATTAACTAGACTAGACTTTTTTTTTTTTTTTTTCTTTTTCTGGGATGCCTACAGCTTTCATCTGATATTCAGTAGGATCTAGTATTTAAAAAAAAAAATGTATGTAAGAATTGCCACTTTTAGAAGATTCGTATTGCGGAAGACTGGGACAACTTAAAAGGTGGCAAGCCAGCAGGAGAAAGCCCTCCTGCAGTTAGCTGTACCGTCCAGGCCTGGGGGGTAAGGATCGGACCCAGGGTGAGTGTAGCTTCGGCGGAGAGCAGATGGGAAGTTGGAAAGAGAATGCAGAAGAAACGGCCACTTTGTGGATAAAGATGCAACCTGGAGTCCCAGACTCCTTGAGGCAGGTTCTCCTGCAGGAGCCGTGGGTTGACTCTTCACACCCCTCCCAGGACAGGCTCCCAGAGGCCTTTGCTCCACAGGTGACGGGGATATGGAAAGAAGGTTGACCATTCCGACCGTGCAGAGATGGGACGGGATCGCTGGTCTTAGGATATCAGGAGTTTGCATCCTAGGGCATT